AGGATCTGAGCCAGTCTCAAGAACCTTAACCCCACAAATGGACCAACCACACCAAGCAGGAGAGCCAAGATCTGGAGGGAAGAAAGGGGAGTCCAAGGAGACTCCATGGAAAACCAGTGCGGGGGCCCAAGAGACCCATTTGTCCAGTTACCAGAGGTTACTGACATCTTCTGTGACTGCCTTGAGTCCAGAAAAAAAAAAATTTGCAGCAAGAAAATGCCAGTGTGCAATTGGCTGAATAAAGACCAAAGAAAAATAGCTTACTTGTTCTCTGTCTCAGGCTTATCTTCTCCCCTTAAATCTCTCACAGCCCTAATTAAACACAAACAAAAGTCTCTTCCATAGATGGGCTACTTGTCAGCTTCAGCCACCTCCTGCGGTGGCTCTGGAGGTTCCGGGGGTGGCATCTCTTCAGGAGTGCTGTCCTCCGGCATCTCATTTGAGCTCAGATGTTCTGTTAGGGCCTAAGAAGGGAAAGATAACAAATTCAATACAAAGCCCATCCTTGCCACACACATGGGCACAGGCGCACACACACACACACACACACACACACACACACGGGCACAGACACACGCTCTCAGCTTCCCTGCCCCTCCTGTATCCCTGCCTTGGGGAGATGTTCGTACGACACACCTGCTGATGGAAACAGAAGCACAGGGCCCGGCCGGCGTGGCTCAGTGGTGAGCGTCCACTGATGAACCCGGAGGTCACGGTTGGACTCCCGGTCAGGGCACAGGCCCGGGCTGTAGGCTCCATCCCCAGTGTGGGGCCTGCAGGAGGCAGCTGCTCAGTGATTCTCTCTCATCATTGATCTCTCTCTCTCTCTCCTCTCGCTCTCTCTTTCTCTCTCCCATCCTCTCTGAAACAGTAAAATATATATTTAAAAAAAATAAAATAAGCTCATCTTCAAAATCCAAATGGAGATAATCAGTAGACACTGAGCTCCTCCTCTGAACCCATCAACCACACTGATGTTACAGATATGCAACCACCGGCACCGAACTCAGAACCAAGACCAGACTATCCTTGTCTTCTCAGCAGAGTACAACTGATGTTTCTTTGAATTCTATTCTTAACTGTTATGGAGAGATGCTTCCATTATTATTCATAATAACAATAATAATAATAGAGAGCACCGATCATTACAGAGGCCCCTCTCCTTCACAAGAGAATGTTATAATGTACTTATATAATAAGACCTGACTCAGTGGGTCTCAATCTTGTTTCTGCCCTAACACTTGGCTCTCCAAAACAGTGATTCTAAACCAAAGAGTGTGGGGTGGCAACATTTTTAGATGATATATGTGGTTTGAAAATGCCCCCAGAGCGATTCTAAAATATCACCTTTCCCCACATTCAACTGAGAATTACTAATCTAAATTTTTAGGATTTAAGACCAGACTTATCAGAAACATTATATTCAAAATGATGATGATAATATATAAAAATGGGTTTGCTATAATTCAAAAAAGAAACTTCAGCATATAGGAAAAGCAAAGTAGAGAACAATTATCTACTTTACAGAAAGCATTCGCCTCACTGGACAGTGAGCTCCTTGAGAGCAGGGACATGGTTTGCCTTGTTCACTTGTGTATCCTGTGTATAGCACAGTAGAATGTCGAAGAAATGAATAGATCCTAATCTATACCACATGGGCACAAAGATCTGAGGCAATGTCAGGGCAAAAGCAGAGACAGGGAAGCTGGGGCTATTGAACACAAAATTGCCTAACTGTATCTCTAAGGTGCAAATTTAGCCTACACTCTCCATCACCAGCTTACCCTTAATGTCTTGAAGTCGGGAACACTTACTGGGCTCTGTGGCAAGAGGCTACTACTGGTCTCTTGAGTGCTAGGAGGTCGACTTCCGCTTTCCTCCAGTGGTAAAATACCTCTTCGATCCAGCACACTGAAGGAGACAGGACAGTTAATAAAGCACTTCCCATTCCCCCCTCCAGCCACCCACCCTCTGAACCTTGCTGTGTGGACTGGAAAACAAAACCTATCCTTTGGCAGTCTAGCCTGATCCTAGCACAGCCGTGGGCAAACTACTGCCCGCGGGCTGGATCCGGCCCGTTTGAAATGAATAAAACTATTGAGAAAAAAAAAGACCGTACCCTTTTATGTAATGATGTTTACTTTGAATTTATATTAGTTCACACAAACACTCCATCCATGCTTTTGTTCCAGCCCTCTGGTCCAGTTTAAGAGCCCATTGTGGCCCTCGAGTCAAAAAGTTTGCCCACCCCTGGCCTAGCACATGCCTCGTATCTTCCACTCACTTTCTCTTCCACAACCAGGGCATACTACATTAACCAGGGTAAGAAACAAATGAAATAAGAATAAAAGGTCATCTCTTTAAAATAATCATCCTGTGGTCTATGGTCCATGTAGAAATGGCACCAAGGGACAATCCCCGGGAAGTCCTATTTGACACCAAAACGTCACATTCAGAAGGAGGCATCATACCAGGCAACAGGACTGGCTTGAGTTGCTCAACCCAAGAGTCCCAGGACCTTCTAGTCCCCTGAGTACCTGGGGGGCAAGGGGCCACACAGCACTTCACAGCAGTTCTTCACAATGTTGCCATGGCTGTAGGGATTCTGGACTCGATTCTTCCCTGTCCATGAGCCTTTGATCTGCAAGATAAAAGCCAAGGCTTACATTAAAATTTATGTTGAAGAAATACATGTAGCATGGGAAGATGAAAAAGTTCTGGAGATGGGTGGTGGTAATAGTTGCACAACAAGATGAATGTACTTAATGCCACTGAATTATACACTTAAAATAGTTAAGATGGTACATTTTATATAATGAATATCTTACCACAATAGAAAAAAAAGAAATACAATGCATAGCCATGGGAAAATATCCACAATAGAGTGAAAAAAAAGCAGATAACTAAACAATATGTATATATTTTCATTTAAAAATTCAAAATATATAGTCACATAAACAAACAGGAACAAGTCTAGACAACTCTAGACTATAAATCATACCATTAACAGTGGTAATGTATAGAAGGTAAAGTTACAGGGACTTATTTGATATTTTTGTTCATCTGTATTTTCTGATTTTCTGCAATGAACATGGGTTAATTGGTAACTTTTAAAAAGCAAGGATTTATTCCGTGCACCTGTCCTTGTACATCCCTAATCCAGAAGCACCAATTAGTCTTTAAAGACCTATGAATAGCTAAAGACCTTGTACCTCCCCAACCATTCAACCTCTTCTTCTTAATTCTCTACAGGCATTCAATTCCAAACAAAGCAGTCTGCTTTCTTCTCCGCACTTCAGATTTAACAGTCTCCCACGCTAGGTTTCTGTCTGCCTCAACCTCCCAGGCCCTGGAGACTCAGTTCTCTAGCAGGTAACAAGAGAATAGGCTTAAGAGAAAGAAGAATATGTGATGAGCTCAGTGGATAGAGCATCAGCCTGCAGACTGAAGGGTCCCAGGTTTGATTCCAATCAAGGGCACATGCCCGGGTTGCAGGCTCGATACCCAGTGGAGAGGGGGGGCATGCAGGAGGCAACCAATCAATGATTCTCTCTCATCATTGATGTTTCTATGTCTCTCTCCCTCTCCCTTCTTCTCTGAAATCAATAAATAAATATACATTAATAAAAGAAGAATATGTGATGAGAAGATGGGAAGGTTGACTCACGTCTTCATTGGTTGTCTGGTTGAGAGCCACAAGGAAAGTGTGAAATCCAGTTAGTCCCACGACGGACCAGAGTGTGAAGAAACAAATGAGTACTTCTAGAACAGTGAGGTGATGTTAAGGAATGTTGAAGCCACACCAACAGACTCAATGCTTCACCCTTCTCATGGTACCAGTCTTTACCTCTCAGAACATGTCACAAATGGCCCAAGTATCCATACGTAACAGATGAATTCTAAACTTGCTGGGTACATCCCTTATGACAGGTAAAGGACTCCTGTCTGTTCACTATGAGTAACTCTCTAATATCTCTAGCACATTTAGGTGTTCCTCTGTTTTTAGATCATTAGCTTTTTGAAAGGGATGTTTAGGAGGGGGCCAAAACTAAACAATGCTGGCCATCACTGCTAATGGAAAATCCATCCAAAAATAAAACTTTATAAATGAAAAATTGGTGGGAAAAACAGGATGTGATTTATAGAAATCCCATCTGAATTTCCTTTTCAGAAATGCAACTGCTCTACAAAGTAAACATCAGCTGTAACAGGAAGGTGGACTTCCAGCAAGTGACATAAGAGATATATTGAGGCATAGATAGCCCACTCAGAGGCAGGGGTGAGTGGGTGATCAGAAGGAACTGAAAGGGAGGCAGTAGAGAAGGGGGTAAAGCAAACACCACCCTTTAAGTCTTGGTCATCTTCCATTCTGATTGCTACCACTAAGACTACATTGTTTTCCAGAATTTGGCACTCTCTGTTGTCTGAAAAATGCGATGATGGGAGAACTGCAGAGAGAAAGCATGCTGGAAAGTAATTTAAAAAGGATTCACAGGGACATACTGCCAGGGGAGGATATGTTCCAGGAGTTTCTTTCAACGTCTCCAGGAAGCCAATTTTCAAGGATTCTATGAAATTGGGAGTAGTAGTAGAGAAAAAAAAAATTAGTGACTTTAATTTTTTAAAAATGCACACTTATCCTAATACTGTACTTACTCACTTCCTCCTCCCTACCCCTTGTTACAAGCTGGCAAGAAATAAGCCCTCGCCCAGACAAGGGACTCACAGCCCCAAGGAGGTAGTCTCCTGACCAAAGGGTTCACATCTCCAATGCAGGACCTGGAAATGGTCTAGAGCAGGGGTGGGCAAACTTTTTGACTCGAGGGCCACAATGGGTTCTTAAACTGGACTGGAGGGCCGGAACAAAAGCATGGATGGAGTGTTTGTAGAGGAGGCGAGGGGATTGTCAAGGGGGGGGGAAAAAAAAGGACACATATGTAATACCTTTTGTAATACTTTAAGCAATAAAAAAAAAAAGGGTACGGTCTTTTTTTTTTCAATAGTTTTATTCATTTCAAAAGGGCTGGATCCAGCCCGCGGGCCGTAGTTTGCCCGCGGCTGGTCTAGAGAGTCGGGCAGAAGCCAAGCATCTGGCTCCCCTCCCTTTTCCTTAGCCCTCACTATGGGCATGGAGGGGGATATTCATTCATAGATAAAATAAATAAGAAACACCCCTAAAAATCCTCTCTCCTCACTAATCCGTGTCCTCCTTTGTTCAAAATCCAGCTGAGCCGAAACCGGTTTGCCTCAGTGGATAGAGCATCGGCTTGCGGACTGAAAGGTCCCAGGTTCGATTCCGGTCAAGGGCATGTACCTGGGTTGCGGGCACATCCCCAGTAGGAGATGTGCAGGAGGCAGCTGATCGATGTATCTCTCTCATCGATGTTTCTAACTATCTCTCTCCCTTCCTCTCTGTAAAAAATCAATAGAATATATTTAAAAAAAAAATCCAGCTGAGAACTCATCCCTTCCCAGGAAGTTGTTTTGATTAAGACCACTCCTTTAATTCCACATCCCCTCTGCCCTTATTTGTTATCTGCTGATTTATGTGTGTGTATGTGTTTGTACACATGCACACACATAAGTGTGTATTTTCTATCTCCCAAAGTAAACCAGAAGCTACTAAAAGGCATTTCTCAGATATAACCCCTTCTACCATGTGGCACAGGGCAGATATTATAAAGCAGAAGAAGAGAGGATGCAGACAGCCAAAATACATCCCCAACCTTTGGGATCACCTCAGAAATGCCCAGTACTCTGGGTACAAACCAGTTATTATGGCCATGGTCCCCAGCAGAGGCCAGTGAGAAGGCCAACTCACTCAGTAAATACTGATTGATGTGAGCTGAGGTTTGGAGCCCTACTCAAGAGCAGACAGTAGAGCTTATTTCTAGCTGGTCCTAAGGTGCCTTCACAATGGTAAAGTCCCACCAGGAAACGCAGCCACTCCCCTAAGCTGTCCTCAAGTCTTCTCCCATCCCACCCCTACTCCAACAACAGGCACTGCCCTGCATACTCACTGAGGGCCACATAGACGATATTGAAGGCGAAGACATAGATGGTGAGGAGGGAGAGAGAAAGGATGAAGAGGTAGAAGTAGCGGTAGTTCCTCTTTCCAACACAATTCCCCACCCAGGGGCAGTGATGATCGAAGCGCTCTGTGGGAAAAAGAGAATCTAGTGTCAAAGCCTCCAAAACACAGTGCAGCCCCACCATTCACATCTGAATAACTAATTCAAAGACCCACAGATCATTTCCTATTTCAATTGTAAAAAACTGGTTTCTATTTTTCACTTTTTCACAATGTTTTTTTTAAAATATATTTTATTGATTTTTTACAGAGAAGAAGGGAGAGGGATAGAGAGTTAGAAACATCGATGAGGGAGAAACATTGATTCAGCTGTCTCCTGCACACTCCCCACTGGGAATGTGCCCGCAACCAAGGTACATGCCCTTGACCGGAATCGAACCTGGGACCCTTCAGTCCGCAGGCCGACGCTCTATCCACTGAGCAAAACCAGTTAGGACTCACAATGTTTTCATAGCCATCTCATTTGATCCCCACAATCACCCTAGAACAGGGGTGGA